AGTGAAGGGCTCACGGGCTCGAGCCCCCCTCCCCATCCCCCAACACTATCCCAAAGCAAACGAAAATAACGAAATAAGCAGTTGAAACTATTATGATCGCACGCAATGAACACCGAGTTATCAACTTGGTAGCTTGCTCTTTTATCCAATCACTCTTTTCACCGCTTACAACTATAGTAACCTAACAGCCAATCAAATGTCTTTAGGGCTCAGCAAAGAATGAGCCCGTTCCCACGGCCCCTTGTTAATAAAACTCTTCTTGTAAAAAGGTAGAACCTTGAAAAAAAATCCCTGCACGGAGCGCTCACGCTGTCCTAGCCCTGACAAAGGGGTGAAAGTTTACGACACACTTTCCCCTAGTGACACAGTTACCTAAGCTCCCATTGGACCTTTGTTAGGGGCTATCTACTTTCCTCGACTACACGGCCTAATCCAGCTAGTGGAATGCTGTGTATCCATGTTTGTGTGTTTGCAACTGCGATTTAACAGTTATTAATTACACCAAGCCACTTTTGAGGCAACTTTTTCATCAGATCAAAATTAATTAGAGAAGTTTGGAGGCGAAACGGTTTCGTCCCCAGCATCCAACAGAATTTAACGTAGAACAAAGAGAAGGAAGACAAAGGTGACTCTTCTCGTTTGAATGGTTCTCAGAATGCCGTGGCTCGCGGTGAGCATGAAAAAATCACCACTGTTTTGTTCTTATTGCTTGCTATTTAGTGGTAAAGAAGTAAAAGCAACCTAAGCTCACCCTCCCCCCAAAATTTTGGCCCACCCACCGCCACTGCTCTCTTTCTCCTTATATATGCATGTGCATACTTAAATACACATATACAGACGGATCTCCGCAAGCATATGGATGTAATATAATAAAATAATAATATGAACTCAGTCATACCCAAGCAACCACACTCTCAACCACTCCGCCCGGGCATACAGTTTTCACTGCCCCTGTCCGTCCCTCTCCTCAGGCTTGAGTGAGGCCAACACACGTTTCCTCAGTATCACTCTCTGTGCCAGGTCCAGCTCAAGCGTGGACCCTCCACAGTGACCATTGTCCACTCTCCCCTCCGCCCCTCCCTCCCAGCCCAGATTGTGCACCGGAAGACTTCCCCGCCTCCTCAGACTACGTGGTCGGCGTGACGTCTTCTCATTGGTCTCTGTATGAGAAGCCCCACCCCTTTCACCACAATCCCCACCGCTAATTTCTTGATGATGCGTCTGCTCGGTGATTGGTCGAGAGGCGCGGGCGCCATGTTCCTCAAGCGAGTGTGACCTCATGAAGCAGAGATATCGGGTGTGCCTCCGGCTTAGGTCGACGATAGACGGGTGCTCCAAATAACCAGGTGAAAGAGTCCTCAGCCCCCCGCCATGCTGCTGTGACGTAGTTGAGACCTCGACATGATGACTTGGTGTACTTCCTGACTGACATGTGCTGGCTTGACTTGTCTTGCTGCTTCTGGGATCTCGCTCGTCATGAGATGTAGACCCTTGTGAGTTCTCCTCTCGGTGTGCTGGGAAACAGTTTGAACCCGGTTTTACAACAGCGGTATTTGCTAGAGGTCGTAGGTCAATTGTTTCCTCCGGAGGCACAAGTGCGTCGCTTCGAGCTAGACGAGGACGCGGGGTCAGTGTCACAGAGCGGCTGGCAGATCTTGCACTACGTGAAACATCTTGTCCAGCTTCCTCCTCCTCATTCTCCTCTTCTCGCATCTCAGCGCTGTCTTCCCTTACCATTTCCAATGGTGTCCGGGATGATTTGTCTTTGTCTGGAACAATGTACGTCAAACGTAAACCTACCTGTATATCGCTCGGGCAGGGTGAACCATTTCTTACTTTTAAATCATCACCTTTATCTTCCAGTCCAGTATTATTGACATTTCCGCGCCTTTCTTTGGAAAAGGTCTTCATGCTTAGCTCAACGCGACTCGCTTCAATCGTTCCGTCGCTGAGTGAATCGATAGCGCCTAATGGAGATCGATTAGGGGCAGACAAATCTGGAGTTTGAGTTCGCCCACTGACCAACTCTCCAGAGCCAGACCCAGTCTTGCGGGTTTCTGAAGTCTGGGTTTCAAATCTTTCCCCACTTTTTTCATCCATAACAATCGATGCACTAACGTTATTCGAGCCTGTGTGGTTTTCATCTAATCCAATGTTCCAAACAGTTCCTGGAACTGATTCATGCATACTTTCTAAAGAGCTGATTGATGCCGAAGGGCAAAGTCTATCACGGTTTGATAATTTTGTTAATGAATCATTCGCTTGCAAATCCAGATTTGTTACTTTGCTTTTGTGCAAGTCTGATCCCCCTATTTTCTTGATGTCTAAAATCTTCTGGTCCAAACCCCTCGTCTCCAGTGAGACTCCAGTCTCTCTCGAGGTGCCATCAACACAAGAAAACTTCTGGTGTTCACCGAAATCTTTCTCGTCACACCACAGTCCAGAATTATTTTGGGGAATTCCCAGTCCTATTTGGGGGTCGGAGCCATGAGAGAGCCCTCGTGGCTCGGGGTGAATCTGAACAGTGGCACCACTTGACGGAGAAGCATATAGCTCACTTTCGCTTGAAGTCCGCAGGCTGTGTCTCATGTCCCGTTGTCTCCTCCATTTCCTCGAACTGATGTCTGGCTCGCAAGAAGTTGGCCGCGGTTGGTAAAGGTTGGTAACTTTACGCGAGGGCGACCTAAACCGTTCTGTGTTGTCGCTGCAGCTTTTGTTAGTAGTGTTATTAGTATTATTGTTGCTGCTGTTGCTGCTGTTGCTGCAGCTATTATTTTTGTTGTTAATGTTGCTGATGTTACTGAGGCTGCTGCTACGTGGTACAAACAAACAGGCAGGTTTGGATGTCTTTAGCGAGTAGACTTTCGATGAAAGCGACAGAGACGATGATGGTGATGAGGACGAGGACGAAAACGATGAAGAGGGTGATGATGATGATGGAGGTGACGAGGACGTGAGGAGGAGGTGAGCAGAGGAGACTGTCGCTGTAGCTGCTGCTGTTGCGCTCTTGCCGCCGCCGCCGAGACCGCTTTTAATTGGCCCAGAGCTAGTCACGTGCTGTACGCCTACCTTCTGCTTCCTGTTCCGGTCGACACGTCTGTCCTCGTGAGACGTGAGGGTCGGGGGAGGGGTGGGCGTGCGTGCCTCCTCGTCCTCCTTCTTGTAGGTGTACTGGGAGATGTCCACGCTGCCCCAGCCTGTCTCACTTCGCTCCAGGCCGTCTTCCTGCTTGCTCTGAGGGTGGGTGAGTAAGAGGGGAGATGGGGAGGGGGAGGGGATGGGGAAAACGGACAGAGGGGTCGAAGGTAAAATCTCAGATCTGATACAGGATGTGTAAAACTAACAGGATCATTGATTTGAAAGACAGTAGATATGGGTTAAAGCAGCATCTAAATATAAGTAGCTGGGAAAAAATAATGATGGTGAAGACATGAGTGAGTCAAAATGATGTCAGTGTTAACGTTAAAACCGAGGTCAAGGTCAGACTGTTATGTACTCCCTAATTTGGACAGAGCAATTGTCACAATATCCAAGGCACACGTTTGTTTGGATGCTTCTTTAGGAATATTAATGTAAAAGTAGGACGATGGTTTAGAGACTTCTCAATCCTGACATTAAAAAAAGGCGGACAGTGGTTTAGAATCTTCTGGACGCTTAACCCTGATATTCAAGGCGAACTAAGGTTTTGAGACTTCGAAACCCAGGTGGACTTTAATGTTATGGGTGTTGGTGGGTTGTTTTGAGGGAGTTTAACACTTTACTAGATACCTTGAGGTAACATTAAGGGTGAACCAAGGTCAAGGGGCTGCTTTGGTTTGATATTGTCTGTAAAGGCCAGCAAGGGACTGGAAGAAATAGAGTATTCCAGGAGACACACGGAGCTACTCGATACAACAATAGTACTGAGAGCGGTGTGCTTTTTCTTTAAAAATCTGATTTGTTTCTTTTATCGATCACGGATAGGTCCCTACTGGGCATTAATTGACGATTCACAGTGGTGCTTGATGAATCGATTTTGTTGTTTAATTGCTGTCGTATCTATCGTTGCCCTTCTAGTTGTTGTGGTGACATTCATTGCTGCCTACTTCACCATCAATAACAACAGCGACGAGCACAATAAGCGACAAAAAGACAGGGAGGGTAAGTGATGTAGCGGTCAGGCTCTGTGATGTAGCGGTCAGGCTCTGTGATGTAGCGGTCAGGCTCTGTGATGTAGCGGTCAGGCTCTGTGATGTAGCGGTCAGGCTCTTCGCCGCTGCACGCGAATGATCATCAGAGTTCGAATCCTGAGTAGCGAGAATTTTTGTCGAGTGCAGTCGAAAATTATCTAACACATTCACCCTTCGTGAAGAGGAAAATAGTTGTCTTAGATAGGTGGACATCTTGAGAGGCGTCATTCTTCTTCTTACCTCCCGTTACGCCATCTGGCCTTTAGGGCGGCAACAAAGGATCTCCAGCTCTGTCTGTTTTGGGCCATCTTGGTCCACCTTCCCCCCACACGGGGACTTGACGTCAGCGACGTCATAATACAGAACAAACACAGCAAGAAGGAACGTGGCAAGTGATCTTTTATACGGGTGACTGTCTTGGACAAGGTGGTCGTTAGAACAGGATTAAATGTATCTCTGTCTTTCTATTTAGACAAAATGTGGTATCCCTCTCACGCGGCGCTGACCCTGGCTGGCAGGATTGGTGTGTTTCTTGTAATTGATCTAAATAATTGTGTCAGGGGGGGATGTGAATAAAAGAAAACGGAAAAGAGAAAGAAACCAAGTTAAACAGACAGCAGTAACACGACAAATAATTCTGATGCAAACACAGGAAACTGCAAGAACACCATAACCACCAGCAGCGGCAGATACAAAATGAAACGAAAAACAACACATACACGTCAAGGGAAAACAAGATCAACACCCACCCCTTTGGCCGCAAAAACTATCGTGACAATAATAATAATAATAATGATAATAATGATAATAATGATAATAATAATAATAATAATAAT